GAACCCGCCACCTTAGGTGTATGTGGCTGGCACCTTAGCCACTTGAGCCACAGGCGCCAAGCCAAGAGAATCTCTTAAGCCCAAGAGTTTGAGGTTGCTGTGAGTGTGTCTCCAGGGCTCTCTACTGAAGGTGACATAGTGAGACTCTGTCTCAAAAAACAAAAAAAGGCAGGATAAGAGCAGAATGTGGTCTGTCCACACAATGGGATATTATTTAGCCAAAAAAGGGATGACATACTGATACCTGCTATAGCACAGAAGAACATTGAAGACATTAGGGTAAGCGATAAAAACCAGATACACAATACCACATGTTAATTATGGTTCTACTTATATGAAATGTCTAAAATAATGGATATGTTAAATATGATTCTACTTATATGAAATGTCCAGAATAGGCAAATCCTTATAAATTAGCAGTGATGAGAATTTGGGGGAAGGAGGAGGAGTGACTGCTGACTGGTATAGAGGCTCTCTAAATGTTCTAAAATGGATTGTGGTGATGGTTGAAAAACTCTGAATATACTAAACACCATTGAATCATGTACTTTAAATGACTGAATTGTATGGCATACAACATATGGCATACAACATGTGGCATACATATGGTGTATACATATATGTCTCAGAGCTTATAGGAAACAATCAACTTGGTGAGTTGCTTCTTAAATTTTAATTCTAACGCGCATCTCTGCTTATGCTTGTTTCAGCTTTCTAAATAATTGCTTTTCAGAAGAAAGAGGCTACCCACCCCAGCACTAGACAAATGGTGAGCACACGGGAGACATTTATCTCTGTGGTATTCTCTCTTAGAGATGGGGTCTGGTGCCGCCATCGAGTATGGCAAGATCCTGAGCCAGATCACCCGCCACCCTGTCTATATCCTGAAAGGGGGCTATGAGCGCTTCTCAGCCATGTATCACTTCTTCCGAACCCAGAAGATCATCTGGATGCCTCAGGTAAGGAGGGTGCTGGGTGGGTTCAAATGGGAATATGGGCCTGGACACTGAGGGGTGGATGGCAGAGGGCATGGAAAGGACCCAGGGACATGGAGGAGATTGCACTGCAGAAATGAGTAGCCAGGGACCTGGTTCTTCACAATGAATTCATACCTGTCAAAGATAGAGCTGGGACCAGTTCAGAGGGCTGGGCACCCAAGGGGAGTTCTGGAGGGCAGGCTGTACTCACCATCAGGTAGGCTTGGACTACCTCTCTATTCTTGGCCTTCTGGCTCCACAAGCTAGATCCAGGGGATACAAAAAGGGGTGAGAAAACAGTCCCTGCCTGGGAGTAGTTCACCGTCTATTGGGAAGGTAGTGGCTGGAATATGGGCTGCAGCCAAGGGATATACCAGGTATTTAGAGCCCAGACGAGAGGTGCTTGACTTCCTGGAACCAAAGTGGAGGCTGAGGAGTTTGCGAGCAAGAGAACCAGGTGGAGGTATGTAAGGCAAATGCCAAGGCCTGCATGGTAGCTCATGCATATAATCCCAGCACTTTGGGAGGCTGAGGTGTAAGGATTGTTGTAGGCCAGGAGTACTGAGACCAGTCTGAGCAACTTGGCAACACCCCATTTCTTACTGAAAATAGATAAATTAGCTAAGTGTGGCAATGTGC